GAGGAGATTGTGTCGGAATCTTCATAGAGTGAAAAAGAAGAACAAAGTGAGTTTTATTATTATTATTATTATTTTGTTATTGGATGACTCTCATTGCTTTAATCTAATTTTTAACTATCATTTTCCTTTACTTTATCTATATAGAAAGAAAAAAAATCAATTGAGATTGTACTTAAAATCCCCTAAATTGAGGATATCTAGTGTCTTCTATACAGGTATGAAATATTATTACTAAATACTTTTAATTTGTTACAACATTACTAAAGAAAAATAAATGGTAGCTAGTCTAGATTGAACGTTTTGCATTATAGTTTACGAACCATAGGTTAACTAACGATAGAAACTTATGTTATGGCAATTGACAAGACACTATCTATAGTTTTCTACTTTGATTATAAGGCAATTAACAAGATACAATCCATGTTTATGCTAATGTTAAAAATTTAAAGTTATTGACCATTGTAATAATATCACATTCTTTTTCTTACATGGGTGCTTCTACTATTATTCTCATTGTTAATTATAATTTGTTTGTTTTGTAATTATTCTTTTGTGTAGGTTTGTTGAAAAACAATATGGGCTCAATGTTCATTTGAAGACATAACATCGTGAAGGCAGCATATATATTGTTGTTGGTTTATTGTAACTTATTTATGGATTTATTTGCTTGGATATTTAATTTCTTTCAATTAGCACTTTAATTTTTTAGTTTCGTTATATCTTTTATTTCTGTGTTGTATTTAAATCATTTGATGAGACTTTTATTTGTTTGGATTTGGTTGTTGTGTAAGTTATTATTATTGTTGTTGTTTTTGTTGCTGTTATTATTATTATTATTATTATTATTTTGAAAATATAATATTTATTAGGTTTGATAAAAAATAATTGTAAAAGATCTTGAACTCGAGCTCAAGCACAAATAATCGAACTTTTATCGAGTATAGAAATCAAACTTATTTTTACATATTAATCGAACCTAATTGAGTAAGCTCGAGTAACTCAATTTTGATTACGAATCGAGCTTGAACTAAAAAAATAAAACTCGATTGAATTCAAGCTGAGTATCGAGTCGCAAATTAAGAGTTAAGCTCGAACTTGAGTTTTTTACTGTATTATCTCAATTTGGCTCGATTACACCCCTAATTGAATCATAGATTCATGTGTGGGTCTTACAAATGATCTGGTTTTCTGGTTTTTCAAAACTATAGTGTTTTGACTGGCTATAAAGAAAAATTTTCATTATTTCATTTTTCAATCTTCCTCCTTAATCTCTAACTTGAATGTTCTCTCTCCCTCTCTTTAAAAAAATGAACACAGCATTGGAAAATACAAGTTTCTCAGAATTCGACTACCATCCGTTGCTAAGTTCGCCACTCACCATTGATCGCTAGTTTCAATCTTTGCCCGAACAGTCCAAAAAATTCCTTGACACCTCTTCTTTCCTTTTCTCCAACTAGTTAATATTAATTTAATAAAATAAAATTATAATAGATAATTAATTAAATAATATTAAAATATTAACAAATTAATATTTACTATAAAATATTATTAAAATAAAAATTATATATTATTAAAATAATATTTAGAATTAAAATATTATTAAAATGATAGTAAAAATTTAAAAAATCAATATTTTCCTATCTAATATTAAAATAACATTAAAATATTATAAAATTAATTAAATAATATTAAAATATTTTCCAATTAATATTTAATATTAAAATATTATTAAAATATTAAACATTAAATTTGTTAAATTAACATTTAAGATTAAAATAATAATTAAATTAATAGTTAATACATAAAATTAAAATATTATTTTAATATTATTAATTTAATTAAATAAAATATAATAGTTCATTAATTAAATAATATTAAAATATTATTAAATAATATTTCATATAAAATATTATTAAAATAAAATTATAATATTATTAAAATAATATAATAATATCATTAAAATAATATTTAGTAATAAAATATTATTAAAAAATATTTAAATTTTAAAAAATTAATAATTTAATATAAAATAACATTAAATATGATAAAATTAATTAAATAATATTAAAATATTATTCAATTACTATTTAATACTAAAATAATATTAAATAAAAAATTAGTTAAATTAATATTTAATATTAAAATAATATTTAAATTAATAGTTAACACATAAAATTAAATATCACCAAAATAATATTAAATATTAAAGTCTCATTACATTAATATTTATTATAAAATATTAGGAAATCTTTAATATTTTATAATTAAAATTTAATATTATTTGATTAATATTGAATATTATTAAATTTAATAATTAATATGATTAAATTAATATTTAATATTGTTCAATAATATTTAATATTATTAAATTAATATTGATTAATATTTAGTATTAAAATTTTATTCAAATAACATTAAAATATTGTTAAATCAATATTGAATATAAAATTAAAAATATTTTTTTATATTAAATATTGTTAAATTAATATTTAATATAATATTTAATAATTAATATTAAAATAATATTAAATATTACAACATTATTAAATAGTATTTAGTATAATTATTATTAAAATATTAAATATTATATAATTAATATTTAATATTATTATGAATAACTAAATATTTAATATTTTTCAAAAATATTTAATATTATTAAATTAATATTCAATATATTAAGGAATTATTAATATTTATTCATTTTGTTAATTAATAATTTTGATAATAGATTATAAGGGTAAAATGATCTTTTACATTAATTTTATTCATATTCTTTGAACTAACCAAACATATTAATATTAATTCTCCTCCATTCTATACTAATGAACTAAATTTTATAATACATATTTTATTTTCTATTCTCATAGAATATCAATTTCATTTCTCCTTTATTTCATTCCACAAATCAATCGCGTCATTAAATTGAGTTACTTTGTTAGATTTGTTATAGGTGTCAAGTCATAAAAATCGAATTTTTTAGTGATTCATATTGCTTAACAATCACTTTTAAATTCAAATTATTATATATCAAAGTGATTTAGATTTTAAGAAATTTAAAGTCGGCACTCTTCTTTTCTTCTAACATGTTTTTACTTCAAGTAGATACATCAATTTCACTTTTGAATAATTATATTAAATTATTTTTAAAATATTAATATTATGGAGTTAAAATATGATACTGATTAGATAATTATTTCCATGTATTTCATAAAATTAAACCTTATAATATTAAAATATTAGAAATAATAAAATATCATTATGTTAAAGGCTTTTTTTTTGTTAATAATGCAAGGTTTAATTATAAAAAATTGATCCCAAAATATAATAAAAATCTTAATTTTGGATTTTTCCATGCCAAATGCCTCGATCACAAAGCTCCTCAAGTGTCTTGAGAACAACCAAAGACTCCTGATGCTTACGTGCTTAAGATTCTTGAGAAACAACCAAACAAGCCTGCCAAGTTGGTGCAACCATGTGGATGGCCGGCTTCCGTTCTGTCACACTCTTGTTGAGTTTTGGATGCAATTGCCAGATTATAACACCTTAGAGCTATATGCCAACGTAAATGAAAATTGCCCACCATTACCTCTAATTTATGATAGGCCCACGAGATGTTAAGTTTGATTGCAATCTGTTTGTAGTCTAGTGCTCCCACTCGCTTTTGTATAACGTCGTTAATAGTTTATTAAATATTCATTTGAATTTGAATGAATGGTGTAGAAGGGGTTGTTTGGTGAGGTAAGGAAGTGTTGTAAATAAGTAAAATGAGATATATCAGAAGACGATGGGAAGAAAGATTAGAGCAGATCCTGAAATATTGAGTACAATGGTATATGGTGCTAGGTGGTGAAATAATGTTGAGTCAGAAAGAGAATAAGGCCAAAAGAAAGATTTAAGAATAGAGAGGATCGAAAGAAAGTTGTAAAAAATTTGTCGAAGTCCAAAAATCCCTTATGAATTGTGAAAACTCCTATTTATAGATTTCAATAATAGAAGTTATATATCTTGAGTAATAAATAAGAATAATGATGAATGATAACAGAATTGACCGTTACAAAATATGTTAATGTATTTATTAATAAGAGTTTAATAAGCTTTTAATGATATGTATAGTGAATACAGAAGTTTACTATTTGTTTTGAAAGAAACGGAGAAGCACTTGTATTTCAAAAAAAGTTTAAAAGAGAACTTTTTAACTATCTTCGTGTCTGATCTATCAAGCCAAATTCTCCAAAATATCCCAATGGTGGAATTAGCCCAAGAACCCTATCATATTTCGAGATTATTTTTATTTTTTCTTTTGGTGAATTAACATCCAATGAAGTGTTTTTTGTGGAATAACTCTTAGTAAAATAACTTTTAGTGAAAAAGTTTACGGTAAAAGTGTTAGTGTTGTTTCTTGAGGAAGTTGTTTTGAGAATAGCTATTCCGTGAAAGTGTTGTTATATTAAGTAGTTGTTCATTCAATAGTTATTCTGTGAAAGAATTATTCCTTAAGTAGTTGTTTTGTGAACAATTATTTTATAAAAAAGTTATTCCATGAATAATTATTTTATAAAATAACTTTCACTAAAACAACTTTATCACTTGTTATGATTTCTTTTTAATTTTAACAATTTTAGAGACATTTATAAGAATAAAATATTAGTAATCAAAATCAAGTACCTAAAAATGGTGAACTGATTTTAGTGATTAAAAATAATAGTAGAAGTGAAATTAATTATTGTAGTAACGAAATTAAAATTAGTGATAGAGTATGTGTGTAGATATAAAAATAGTTATGATGGTGAGATGAATTGCAATGAAAAAGAAAATGACTTTCAACCTTAAATCTTAAATAAATAATTAAAAAGTTGTTAAATTATTGTAATGTTAAATAATAATTTTGAAAATAAATAATAAAAATATATAAATTAATTAATTATTATAATAATATATATTTATTATTTCATAATTTTTATATAAAAAATTAAAACAAAGAAAAAGTCATAAGTTGTAAGTTGTAAGATTTAAGGTGATAGAGGTACCGAAAATCAATTTGGATTTCAACAAAGCGGTTGATACGGAAAAGAATAACAACGGGCCAAGGTACGGTTACATCCAAGCGGGTGCTAAATGCAAATATCCCTTTCTGAAAAGTCCTATAACACTATATGTATGCTCGCCAATTCCTGCTAGATATACTCATAATCATTGTCAAAAAACATAAATAGTTTCAATCTTATTCGAGTGTTGAGCATTTAGAAATGGCTGACGACAATAATTGAGCATTGGTGGCAATAGTTTGAGAACATAACAATTCCATTGTTAATTTATTTACCTCTATACGAGAGCGAATTACATTTCACCATCCCAGATTTCCTCAACTGTCTTGAACGGTCCATACTTGGAGATGTAAGCCACTCCGGGAACACCTCTGCTTTGTGGGATCTCATCTATCTTTTTCAACTCCTCCTCATTCAGTGACCAATCGAATATCTCAAGGTTTTGCTTCATTCTCTCCCCATTGAAACTCTTCACAATTACACTGACCCCTTGTTCATATGCCCATCTCAGAGATATCTGTTTTTGTAGTGATTAACCAAACTTTCAATGTGCCTTACTATAAACTTTATTTAAAAAAAAATCAAAGAAACAAAAAAAAAAATAAAAAAGAGCAACTTTTTGTGGGGGAAAAAGCACCTGAGCAACATTTTTCCCTTTTGACTTGGCAATTTCTTTCAGTACCTCGCACTCCAGTACTCTATTGCTGCCCCAAGAGGTTCCATTAGCTCCCAATGGGGAGTAGGCTGTCAAAAAGATCCCCTTGGCTTTGCAAAACTCTCTTAGCTTCTTTTGTTGCCACAGTGGGTTCATTTCCACCTTGCAAAACATTATAGCAACTTCACTATCATTACTCCAAACCAAATTGAGAAGAGAGGGGGGTGGGGGGAGCCAGAGAGAGCGAGCTGTTACCTGATTAACAACCGGAGGGATCTTAGCTATGGTGAGGATGTCATTCAGCTTTTTGCAGGAAAAATTGCTGACGCCAATAGACTTTGTGAGGCCGAGCCTCTGGCAATCTTCCATGGCTGCCCATACAGAATTGAAATCCATGGGGAGGAAGTTTTCCTCCTTTATTGGGAATTCATAAATCCCAGGTTTTGAGCTCACGGGCCAGTGAATAAGAAAGAGATCAAGGTATTCCAATTTGAGATTTCTGCAGGAAAAAGTTTTAGACAAGAGTTACATGATGTTCCCCTGGATTAAATTTAAAAAACTTCATAGATAAGATTATATCAGGATGGTGGGAATGAAAGCGAGCAATATTTTTTTTTACTGTAAGCTCCTCTTGAGGGCAGGGACAACAAGTTCTCCATGAGCATCGCCGCACCACAGCTTGGTAGTGATGAAAAGCTCATCTCGAGATTGAATTAATCCAATCGAAAATGCTTCTTGGATTGCTTCACCCAACGGCTTCTCTGACCCATACTTAGCGGCCGTATCAAAATGTCTAGAACCAAGTTTGATTGCTTGGAGAATTGCCATTTTTATAGCTTCTGATCCTACAGGTGGGGAGGCTGCCGTTCCCAACCCCAAAAGTGGCATTCTCTTGCCACTGGAGGCCAATACATGTTCTGGAATACTGAAAGAAGTTGCTTCCAAGTCCGAAGTGGAGACCATCTTCTTAGCGGTGTAGATCTAATAGATCAAATTTTTTGATATTTCAAAAGAAAAAAGAAAAGAAAAAAAAAGACAGCTTTTGGCAAAATCTTGGATCCAGCAGCCTCCTTTAACTTTAGGAGCCCTTGTTAAGTAGAATTTGTGGATCTTCTTTTAATTATTAATATTGTTAATCTACAAAGCAGAGTGGAACAGGAGAGGGAAAATAATAAAAGAACATGTAAAAGCATCTCACCAATAATTATTATATTATAATTAACAAAAATAAATTATATTATTGATATTTTAATTATGATTATCAAATATCACACAATATTGTCATGTCATTGAATACGTCATATGTCATATGACATTATCATATCGTATAATATATCATATCATATTATTGATTTAATGTTATAAATTTTGAAAAAAAATTTTCTTGATGCGGCAGTGCTTTGTGATACCTGATGACATCTGATAATGGATGGATGATAAAAATAATATTTACTCAAACTCCAATAATTAAATTAAAATTTTTTAAAGTTTAGAGATAATTTTAAAAATATAATCATAATTAAGTGATCAATGATATAATTTACTAATTAATCAATTATAATTTAACATTTTGCATATCATCAAAAATTAGATAGAACTCATACTTTTAAATGATAAATTCTTATATAATATATTTGTTAAAATTAACTAATTACAAAATTAAAATGAAAAAAATTATAGATAAAATAGTCCCATAAAAAACTGAAAACATATCTTAAAGTTATAGTGCGTTGGAAATCCACTAAGACGTATTATTAAACATATCTAAACAAGTTTGTGGGTGCTCCGATGCAAATGCTCAAATCAGGTCTTAAAGTTATAGTGCGCTGGAAATCCACTAGGACGTATTATTAAACACACATAAACAAGTTTGTGGGTGTACAGAAGTCACTACCTGCAGCAAAGCACAATATTTACAAAATTTCTACGCTCACCGCACAGTACTACAACACTACACATACTACATGGCTACTACACTAATACAACTAGTACGAGTAATAAAACGAAAGCTTATAAAATAAGCAATTTGCAGGCGAAGTTAACAAATTTATTAAATTGCTGGCTGTGAAACTTACAACACATCTTCAACTGTCAACAAAACACACTAATTGGTAGCAGAGAATTTACCACCAAGAGCTTCGGTGATGACTCTTAATACTATAATAGTATAATCTTGCTAAAGAAATTTACTAATAATTATTGAATTCAAAATGACTCGTTACAGATTCGTTCTTTGTCTAATGAAACTTTTAGTATTTGTTTAATGAGTTGGAGATGGCAAATTAATGCTACGATTTATTTAATGCAACTTTTATTGGTTGATTAACTCCAATTGGAGATTAATGAAGATATAGGGCTATACTCTGTTTTCATGGAGTCAGACTGAATGTACATATAGCAAGGCGGCGGACGGTGAGGTCTTGAGCATAGCGGGAAGAGGAACGGGAAATGTACTGTTTGGAAACGGAAGAGTAGATTTCGAGGGCTTTATCAGGGTCGTACTAAATGCGACGTTTGCTTTTGGCTGCGGAAATGGAAATGGATGATGACAAAGTGGCGGAAGTTGAGGTGGTGGTGGAATGGTGGCGGAGAGGAATAAAAGATGACATCCTCCTGGGGAATGCTTCGGGGCTTTGGTTAGAGTTCTAGGGGAGAGGAAATGAGGGCAGCTGGACTCAATGGTGAAGTAAGAAAGGAGATCCGGAGAAGTTCAAAGTTTTTCTTGCTAAATCCGAACCCAATATGTGCAAGTGCATTGGTGAATGTTGTCATCCCTGCGGATCCATCACCTGGTGTGGGGAAGGTTAGTGTTTGTTTATTTGATGTTTACTATTTTTTTCTTCATGATAATTCTATTGTTTTAAGTATAAAAAGATAAAAATTTCCTTAACAAAAATTAAATAATTACTTAAGTTTTTTTTATCATTTTATTATAATCAATTGAGATTTAAATATTTATTTTTATCCAATTAAATCCTTAAATATATATTTTCATTCAATTAAATCTTTAAACATTTATTTTTATCCAATTAAAGATATGTATGTTGATGGTTAACTAATTTTTTTTAATAAGAGTTCATATGATGAAGATAAATATTTGAAAGCTTAATTTATTATAATAAAATAATATAAAAATAAATTATTATTTAATTTTAGTGCAAAGATTTATTTTATATTTATTATACCTTTTGATTAGCTTACATTGCTGAAAGACATTTTTATATTTATTATACCTTTTGATTAATATGCATTGCCGAAATGTTTATGCTAGTTGCACATGTGCATTCATCCCATTGCCGACTGTAATTCTTTGATATTATTAGGTATTTATAGAGTACTCAGACCTTGAAGGTTCCCTAAAGCCCATGTTGCATTGATTGGACGAAAATTTGGTGAAAATCACGTTGTTGTTGTCTTCTATCGAGAGAAGAGGTTTGAACAGGGGGAGTACGAAGCCTAGTGTCATCTCTGCTGTGCATTATATTTGCACTGATTCCATGTTTAGGTCTGGACATTAGGCATACACGGTTTATGAAGAATTTATTGACGACAGCCTGTAGCGTGATTCTCTGCTAAATTTTTGCTTTTAAACCAAACAGCGAACAGAACGTTAGACCGGTATAGATGATTTTAATGTTTTAATCTAATGTTTGGTGTAGATACCTATTTCTGTTTGGGGTACGATTGATTTATGAATTTGAATCTCTTTGGGATCGTTGGACTTTGGAGGAATTCATATTTGCGTTTTCGGCTTTTGTATTATTTCGTTTGGGCTTTGACCCCAGCATTCATTGATCATATGTAGGCTCAAGTCCAACCCATATTGTGTTTATTATTATTATTATTATTATTATTATTATTATTATTATTATTATTATTATTATCTTGTTTATATTTTTACTTTTAATTTCATTTTTCCTTTTCTATTTCTCTATCATTTACGTTTTAATAAGGAATATGAGGGAATAAAAAAGGATGGAAATTCAAGACAATTTTTTGGAATCAGGATCTATTTGGGTAAATTTAAGAACCTAAATTGATTGGGATTAAGCCTTAGATCGATCTTCTAAATCAAGCAGAACAAATCTCAGGATTCAAGTTTGGATTAAATCAGTTTAAATCCTAAATTTTTTACTGGACCAACTATAAATTAATTGCTAAAATCACATAGAAGGCAGGGAGGAGAGTCTGGGTTTTGGATTGGTATTGTTTGGTCGATTTTGTTTAGGGTTAGTTAACATTTGGGTTTTTGAGTTTGGTGACAAACAAAATTGTTTGGGCTCTTTAAAAAAACTGAAAGAGGAGAGTTTTATGGAAAATTTTAGGGAATTTCTAGAAAAATTTGAAAAAAATCTTGGTTTAGTTTGAAAGTTTGAATTTTTCGATTGAATTTTTCAATGAAATATGATGTTTTCGACTGAATTTCGATCAGTTTCTTAGAAACCAATGATCAAACCCAGTTTATAACGGCTTATTATGAGGTTTATAAAGAAAAGGTAGAGTAAAAAAAAAAAAATCCTAGAGAGAGAGATAAGGCTAAAGAATTTTGAAGAAAAGCTGAAAACCTTGACTTTTATACTAATGCCAAACAACCTCGTTTCACTTAGCATAAACCATGTCCCAACCAGTGTGGATCCGTGCGTGACCCATTTTTGGATCGATCTGATTATAAATTTTTCTTTTTTTTCATTTTTTAATTACATTTTCATTTATTTTATTTTTATATATTTTCTTAGTTATTTTCTATTTCATTTTACTTGTTTTTTTTTATTATTTTAAGTATTATACTTGTTTTTAAATTAAATTATTTATTTTAAATACTTTCATAAATTTTTTAAAAAGGAATAAGAATAAAAAATATATAATAAAAAATGTTTCTAAAAATAAATTCATGAATCCTACCAAACTATTGAAAGTTTTTTCATAAATTTAAATTTTTATGAATTCTACCAAACTATTGGAAAATTTCATAAATTAATTTATAAAAAATTATTATTAAAATACTTTGTAGTTTATATTGTTAAATTATTAGAGGATTTTATTTTAAATTTTATCAAACTATTAGAAGATTTAATATATTTTCTAAAAAAATCTTGTAATAAAATCAAACTAAACTATTGAGAGATTTGTATCAAAGTAAATCTTACCAAACTATTGGAAGATTTTATTGATTATTTCTTTAACTAAAATTTAAATGAATTCAACAATGGAGTCTCTTCGGAGTGAGACATTAGTCTCCATAAATACTCTTGAAGTGAGAGAATTATTTAAAATTGCTACCAAATTATTGGAGTAATTTTAAGATTAATTTTTAATATTAAATATTTTGGTAAATCATAAATATGGTTAAGACTTGGATAATTTAAAATCAAACTGGTATGATTCTTTGGATGGGCACTGTGAGGGTATTATAACATTCTTCACGTGTAACCGCACTCCTAAATCTGAGATTTGATTTTGTAGAATAAAATCTAATATTTAAAAATACCTAAGTCAATCTTGGGACTTCTCTTTAAATAGGTTAAATTCTGTCAGGTGGCCAATGACACTTTAACAAAAAAGATTGGTGGTAACTTTTTTAATCCATGTCTAGTAATAGGTCCACATATTTATACGTTACGATAATTTGGTGACTCGACTAGAGACATCGAGAGTCAAGCAGTAAATAATTTCATGCTATCCAAGTCTAGCCTAATAAATCTGAGTTTTTTTTTCTTCTTTCTTTTACCTTGTTTATGTTTTATTTAGCTATTTATTTATTCATTTTACATATATATATGTCATTCATTTGCATATACATAACATTAGCTCCACACATGAGTTTTGTCTCTTAGAAGGAAGTAAAGTATCTACATCTTTGTGAGATTTCATGTCTTTACATGGGCTAACGAAATACTTCCACTCAGATTGAATCTTTTTTGCTTGTAACCTATAATGGGCAAGGATTGGGGGTACCTTACTAGTGATGTGAGGAACAATTTGAGAACCTTTTAGAAATAATCCGAGCTATATATAGTTGACCTTAAAAGCTTAACCCATAGGTAGAGCCATGTCCTTTTGCCTTTTATAGTTAATCCAAGATTTAGAGTCATGTTGTTATTTTACTTGCTTTACTGTGTTTATTCTTTATTTTAT